AACTCCGATGCGCAGCCAACCCTACAGTACGCAGCACACAGGGACAAGGAACATTCCCATCGCCAACAAGATCACAAATATTGCGAAGAACCTGTTAGGCAAAGCAAGTGCGAGAAAGTGTGGCGTGCTGGCAGCAGTGCCCCGAGCCTCTCGACTGCATTCTCTGGAGCGACGTTGTTCGTTGCCGGCGTGAATTGTGTCAGGGCCTGCAAAACAGTTTCTGCCAGACTTTGTACTATGTTCTTCACATGCCTTCACTGTGATTTTCTTGGGCTCTGACCCAGTGTATGGATGTGGCGTAATAATCCAAGGCATCTGCCTTGCCACTGGATGCTGTAAGCGCAGGGAGTCAGCCAGGCAAGTGCCATCAAATCGGTCTGCATCTGTCATCTTCAAGCCAAGCGAGGAGACAGAAACCTTAAATCCTCGCCAACCCCAAGCCAGAATTGCACTCCCAGCACCCTCCTCCTGCATCTCCATCCGCACGATCCAGCTCCGGCCATCGACTGTCCTGCTCCAACCGCCAGGAGGTGGTACAGAGGTACATGCCACAATTGAAAGTTCCTGATCTTCGCATATACCTAGAGGGTAACAATGGGTTACCCGAAGCAGGGTAAGCTCTTCGACTGCAACATTTGAGGGCTAGAAGAAGTTTTGAAACCACTTGTCCAGCTGCCGAGGCCGTACCAGACACATGCGATGAGGTGGTTCACCGCCTTCAGGAATGTCTTCCATATCATCGCTTCTCTCTGACCCTTCTCTTCTTGTCGCTCTTCAGCGCATGCGCTCGCTGCTGCTGATGAGGGAGATCCCCCCGCGCAAGTTCGCGTAATCGGAAAATTGTCGTCACCCCTCAGGTGCATGGCCAAGGCGCCGAGGAGGCTCGGCGTGGTCTGTGTGAGACTCTTCCACGGTCCGCTTGTGCGCGATGCAACAAAAGCAGTAAAAGCCTCTATGTCTGTCTCTCTCTCTCTCTCTCTCTTTTTTTGTTCGCCATCTCTCTCTCTGTCTCTCGCTCGAACATCCTTCCATTGTCACTCTCGCGGAGTCGAACAAACCTTCTGCCCATGGCTATCACCGCATTCCGAGCTGCGAGAATACCGGAGAGGCCAGCAACGACCTCTGCGCAAGACAAGCACTGCTCATGACGGTTCACGAAGGTCATCATTACAACCTGCCAACGGTACAGTTGTGTCAGGTCTTCTGAGCAAGCTGCTTTTGGCCAAACATACACCGAGCATGCTTCTCTTGAACATCAGATGTGCGAACAGGCAGGAATATACAGGGAAGAAAACAATACATCTCAACCATTAGACGGACGTCTTGAGAAACTGGGGAGGCATGATGGACCATGCCTTCATGACCACGAACGCGTTTGCTGAGAGAAAGCGATTCGCCAGAAGGGTGAGCTGGTGCTGCAGCCTTGCCACCTCGAAGACTCAAGGGGCTACTCAACGTCTGCTGCAAACATTGTGCGAAGGCTATGCAAGGTTACTGTAACTCAGCTTCAAGGAAACTCCGAGCTTGAACAGGACAATACTTCCTCCTGGGCACACGCAGGAGCCGCACCAGGCGCAGCAAACGGAGCGCACGGAGGAAGCGCGCCGACTTCAGGCTGCCAGCCTGCGTAGAAGGACGCTGTGCGCTGCAGCACTGCCAGATGCAGTCCTAGTCTCACTGCACAGGATGCATGTGTAAACCAAAATTGCAGCTTGCCTCTTGGTCTTCCAGAAGTATGAGCACCGCATCAAGAGCCACGACAATCACGTCCATTGCCTGTTGGACGAAATCTTCTGCCGCCGTGGTTGTTGCCGAACTCTAGCAATAAAGCCGGTATGTGCTGTATGCATGCATGCCGTGCATGTCCCAATGTCTGATGCCATGTCACTAACATGTGTGTGAGTGTGTACACACACACATATATATGGGGTCAGGGACTGGTGCTTACCCTGCCCCATCATCGATCCTACGATCTGCATGACATCTCCAACACCAAAAACAGAAGCTCGTAAGGTACAACATGGTACAAAGGATGGGAGATCAACAAATCATCTCTAGAATCACTAGGAGCCGCTTGACCCACCATTCAGCGGCGAGCTGCGAACCAGCTTTGCAAGTAGAGCCGCGCTAACACCGCTGGCCGAACTTCCTGGAGAGCAACGGTTAAGAAAGAAGTAGGGTTCAATGTTGCCGTTCAGGAGGCACCGGTTTGTGCTGGAACCCTTACTAAACGCCCGACGGCGTGAACCCCCAACCCCCCCAACCCGCAGCTCGCCAGGAGCTCGTCTACATTGCAATGCAAGCACATTCAAGACCAATCGAAGCCAAACATCAGCTCCTAGCAAGAATCATGGTACGTGAGGACATCAAGCAGACAGAATAGAAACTCTGGGGATATGACACTTAGGCGATGTGAAGCCTGCGAGCTACACCAAATCAGGCTTCGTCACTGACCTTGCGGTTCTGCGACGTGTGCCAGCGGGCCCGACGTTTCTGGGGATTACCTGACATGTCCTGACCTGAACAAGTCCGGAAGCACACTAACTTGGCCAGGATGCAATCTTCCCCTGCAGTTCCACGCCGAGTATGAACTGCAGTGGTATGTTCAGGGTCCAGAATGCGAAAGTGGCCTGGCAGTGTACAAACCGTCTCGATCATTTACCCAACAGGGAATCTGAGCAGCTAGAACCTCCGAGAACATTCGAAGGGCTTGGTCGGACCCTGGACCCCATGCCGTCCTTGCCAAAGGTGAGCAGAAAGCCGTAGAGCGAGGGCAAGTCGAAAAGCTCTAAGGGAATTGTAATCAGATCCCATACCTGTTCTGAAGTGGCACAGGCCGACACGAAGAAAACACAAGACCGTCTGTACGCGTTGCAGCTGCATCCAGGCCATCCAGGCACTCCAGTTCAAGGCAAGAGACGATGAGGAAGCTGCAAACAGCCGACAACAGGAGCTGGGCCGTGCTGCCCGGAGCTATCACGAAGCCTGGAGATGTGCAGACGATCTGGAATCGCGGGAGTCGAACTCCGGGCAGGAGCCGCCCTTCATGGGGCTTAGGGGGGGGGGGCTTTCTTAGGTTTCATGCACTCGATCTTCTTTGCCACCTAGAGGCGCTGGAGACACGAAGAGTCCAAGATTGCCTCGTTCATCTTCAGCGTGGAAGCCGACTCCTGTGAGTCCACCGTGCGAAAGCATCGTACTGCATGTACCAGAATTGCTGCTGCGATCAACTGCAACAAGTCTTCAAAATGTCGAAACCTTCATGAGCCAGCTTACTCAACGGCAACATCGACTTTCAAGCCCTAAGTCGTCTCAACATTCTCCCAGCTCTAGCAGTCAGCAGCATGAATGGGCCATGCCTGGCCTCGGCCCCCGGCATGTGGTAGTTCCGAGTCTGGTGTCTTTTCATTGCCTCCTGGACTGAGATCCTCGGAGCTGCTACTGCACCGCAAAAACTTCGGAGTCCCAGCTGCATCTCATGGATCTTCGTGCCTCCCCTCACCGTTCCCTTCCGTCGTGCATGTCACTCTCTCATTCATGTCCGATCACAGACAACAAACATTCAACCATCTGTGAAAGCACACGGAAGTGTAAAACCGGAGGTGCGGCTAATCACGACCCAGGATCGTCCATGCTTGATGCATCACCTGAGATTTCAGCTACAGTAGCCGAGTCTGGATCCTGCTAGTTGGGTCTCGGATGCCACTACGCTGCTGATAGCATCCCAGTCGCCAAGCTGCAATTCACGGATGTGTTGGAAATCATCTCATTTTCCGACGTCTGCGCACTGCGGTTTGCCAGTTTCAGTGTGAGGTCAGCCCACCGATACGGGACCGACGCCGGACCGTCCCCGGCTGCCACATCGGGATCTCCCATTGGCATCGAGAGTGGCGCTGAGAGATGCCCCGCAAACGGCGCCCAAAGGTGCCAAGCTGAGGGACCATCGGAGTCTGCAGTCTCTGCCTCCTCGTGATCGCCGTCGAGCCGAGACTCCTTGAACAGTTCTGCTCCCAACCCGAACCATCCCGAACCCTCCAAGCAAGGAGTGTCTGCCTCTCCAACCTCTCGATTGCTCCTTCCAAGCTCGCGCGCCGAGCTCGCTGCTGAGCCGGCTGCGCCAGGACTGGTCAAGCCGCTCCTTCGGGCACAACAAACAATGCTTGAAGCTTTGCATTGGCTTAGGGGCTTAGGGCTTGGGGCTTGGGGCCTATGGCTTGCAACTGCTCCTTGACTTCAAGATACTGAGGCAGAGAGACCCAGAGAGACAGACGAGCTGCAAAGTCAAAGTCGTGAGGTGAGCTAGCCTCACCCTCCAAAGACTTATCGCCAGGGCTCCTTCTCTATCCTGTGTTGTTGCAGCAATGTTTCGTGCAGGCTCTTCAGCTGCATGTCCAAGACATCTTCCTGAGTCTCACTGGATCGCAGAGAAGTATCATCACACGAGGGCCGCTTTGCGCACGCTTGAGGGTCAAGAACTTCTCGCAAAACCCATGCACATCAGGGATGTTCACTCGGGTCTGTCCAAGCGGCATAGGAGCCTCCGTTTGGAGCCAGTGCTTGCCGGTCCATCATGTTTCGGCGCGGTTCGGCTGGGGCAGAAGACTAAATCTGCACTTGCACATCTCTGTTTTTCTTTGCCCGCATAGCAGATACTGCGAGCCCAAGCTTAGACTTGTGCATTTTGTTACTGCCAATTGGCACGACACATGCGATGTCAAAGCACGGCGGAAGGTAGAAGAGCTAGTTCAACGGGCCGGCACCTACCGATAGTATTCATGCCTTTGGTGCAGAGGGGCATTCGACCGCTTGTTCTGTTTTCTACGCTGGTGATTGCAGCAACACATGACGGAGGCAAGTTCAGGCCGCGTACTCCACCCTTACACCTCACAGTCTCTGCGATACTTATACCGTCTTGACACGCACGATCATGAATGACAACGCTGCATCTCGGCAGAATAAACACCCACAGCCCAAGTTGGAACTTGTGCTTTGCTTCCCACCTCCTCTTTCAGAGGCTCCTCTTTCGCGGCATCTTCCTTCAATCGCTTGGGACAATCAGAAGCTTCCAGTTTCACAGCACACTTTAGCTCAAAATTGAGAGCAATGATGCTTCTTCAAGTCGCAATCAATTCCCCATCCAACCAGTCTCCCACATGGTGGCACATACGAGAATCTAGCCTTCAAAAGTCTGCAGGGTACACCGCACCTGCGCAATGTAGCCACCGCTGGGTTTCTCCTCTACTCTCAACGACAGCTTGAGGAGTACAAGAAGTCAAGAAGTGGGACTTGTGACTGTGAACTCTCTCCCATTGCTACTGTCGCTCTTCCCCTGGCACATGACATGTCTCCTCCACGGGCTTCGGGCGATTAATGAGTTCAGGAGCCGGCGAGAGATTGTCGATATCCTCGCAGCTTTAAGGGATCTTGGCCAGGCCAGGCTTCCGGGCATGGCCCGGACAAGCTGACATCTTTGTCTTGCAAAGCTTCCACATTGTCACAACACTCCAGATACATGTGCCACCACCCTGCTGACATCAGCTCGTAAGGCTAATTCGTCATAACTACTTCACACTTGACACTTTCTCACTGCTCTATTCCAACTAGGACTAACTAGGAAAGATGCTTTACCCGTATTGTGGCATCTGCAGAGCTTGCTGAGTTTCAACCAGCAAGAACTGCCAATGGTAATGAGCCCTTGCCACTGCCTTGAGAAAGGAGCAATGTGCTTTGTATCGAAGTTCGGGAGTTTCACTTTATTATGGCGGACTACACAGGACGCACCGCCTGAAAGCCTCGCCAAGACAGGGGGGCCCAGAAAAGGAAAGGGGAAGAGAATGAGCTACTCAGGCCCATGAAGAGACGAAAGTCGGAAATGCTAACGCGCCTCTTGGGTCGCTTACGCTCAGCACGGAATGCCTTCATGCTCTCATGCTCGTGATATTTCGGAACGGAGTTCTGGACTGCAGTGTACTTCTTGCATGCGGCGAGTGCTTCTGGGCCGAGCTTAGGCGAACTGATGAAAAGGCTTAGCAATGCTGCATGCCCCTTCATGTCCGACTGAATCCACCCCCGTTGGAATGCCGAGAGTCTTTGGGAGCAACACTGGTGGCAGCAATGAAATCCTCACCTTTCCGAACAATGGCGGGCTTCAAACTTCCGCGCTCTTGTGCTCGGAGGAAAAACATGGAAGTGACAGTATGTAGAACTTATTTCATCGGCCTTCATTCCACCAGATCTTCAGCCAATAAAAAATGAGGATATATTTGCAAGTCCAATTATGTTGATATGAAATGGCAAGCACTCGGACAACCCTCCTTCATTTTACTCTAGCGCGCTGGGACATCAGAGTTCACAAGTCTTCGGTTGCAACGAGGAGGACAGCAAGTAAAGTGCAACGGAAAAAGCCTGAGCACAGAATGACGAGGGTCGCACTCCTCGCCATCACCATGACACAGAGCTTGCCGTTATTCCCGGGTGGGCGGGTGGGGCGAAATTTTGTTCGCACTCCTCCTTGAGAGTGCTGGCTGCAAAGCGCAGTACATAATTTCGAAACCCAACATGAGCAGACATGAGAGAAAGCAGAAAATCTGGCCCCAGTGTAAAACACATGCTTGTCATGAAAAGCCTCACAAATAAGGTTTCCGCCAGCAAGCTGGAGAGAACACTTATTTCATCGGCCTTCATTCCACCAGATCTTCAGCTAATAAAAATTGAGATATATTTGGAAAGCCAATTATGTTGATATGAAAT